CAAGGGAATGTTGGATGGAGCCCAAGTGCTTTGTGATGAAACAGAAGTGTTGGATATGCCTCAAACGTTAGATGAAGCAGAAGTGTTGGATAAGCCTCAAGTGTTTATTGAATCAAAAGTATTGGATGTGCCTCAAGTGTTTGTGGAATCTAAAGAGCCCCAAGGCGTGTTTTTTAATGTGGATTTTTAACTCACTGCACCAAAGGAGGATCAAGAATGGGATAACATCCGAGACTTTTTATACAATTTTTCGGTCTCTTTGGAGACTTTGGATTTACGTACAGTTGTGATACCCTTTTGGAAAAGACAGTATCCATTTAATCCTGGAAACCCCTTGAATCAATAAAAAAACAAAGGAAACGCATATATAATGTAAATATCGCATTGTATTGAAAGTATTGTGTTGTATTGTAAATTTGAATGTATTGTATTATAATATAAATAAATAAAACCCTGGGGTTTACTTTTTTTTCAATACTGTTTGTCATTCTTTAAGATTTCATTTCTTGTCACATGACCAAGCAGGATGTCATAACATTTTGTGGACAATCAGAATGCCGCACGTCATAACTCTTCATCCTTTTTCGCGTACAAAAGGGGATTCCATTCATCACACCATCTAATATGTTTAGTCTCTCTAAGATGGATCAGCTCATGAGAGAATAACTCTCATCATTACAGATTTTACTGACAGAACATAATTCTCGAATGTTTTCTATTCATGGCGCATACTGTCTCAGAAAAACATGTGAGCATGTTTTTCTGAGGCGAAGATATGTAAAAGTTTTTGTCAATGTCAAAAAGAATATCACATCTCCCAAGATTATGAATATAGTCTAGTACCGTGTGAATTTTTGTTGTTGATGAAGAGATTGGAGTCAATCGACATGCAACTCTCAATTTTTACCTGCAATTTGTCTGACAGAACCTAAAAACCTTACTATTACTTTAAATTCACTTCAAATGCTTTTAAGTAAACCCAATAACTTACTTCATTTTCACGCATTTAATTAAATAAATCAATTTCAAAATTCATAAGTTGTCTTTCACCCTTCAAGTTTTACAAGGCAGCCGAAGCACCTTCGTTTTGACAACACGTTCGTTGTTAAAGCGGCTTCCTATATTTCGCGGATAGGATATCAGTTAGATCTCAGTAAATCAAATAATAAATATATCTAAGATGACATCACTTCATTTACTGGAAATTCATTAATGATCAATCAGTTACAGGCGCAACCAATAGGAATACGTTCCTGTTAGGATAAGAATACGAATCGTCTAATTAGGATTAGTGGAAGTGAATATTGATTGAATGATAGTGGAACACTGATCTAGTTGAGCCTCTAACTTGGACATCTGTATTTAAAAGAAGAACGTTTTAGTTGTTAGCAAATTCAGCCCTGAATCTAGCTATCTGTGATTTAAATTTTGGTTGATAAAATTATTAAAAAGTGGCAAAAAACTAAACCTTTTTTATACTTCACTACCATTTTAAATAGGTTTTTATTATTTTATATTTTTGTAAATGTACAAAACAAAATCGAGTTTTAATTAGTTTTTATTTCGAAGCATAATATCGAGAAAATATTCTTAATTTATGATGACACTAGAACGCCACCTACTCCGTACTTTGAAACCATTAGCATTTTTTAAATCATTCGACGAATATTTCGGATAATTCAAACTGTTAATTTTGAAAAAGTTAGTGTTGAATAATATGTAACTAAACTTATTTCAGATAAATAAATGTCTAATACTCCTAAGAAAGTCATAAAACCTAGAGGTAGAAAAGAATTTGGCGACAAAAATTAGTGAGAAAACTTCTTTGATAATAAAAAATAAAGAAAAAAAATACCCTTTATCTTCAACAAATTATCTAATAAATAACCGTTATCCCCATTTATATCTAAAGTAAAATGTATTGCTTTAAAACAATGAATCTTTCTGGTTGTAATTGTAAAGCTATTTTTCATTAAAAGCGCAACATAAAAACTGTATTTATTATTATATTCATGTTGAGAGCAAAAAAAAATATTGTTTTAAATAATATTCCACATAAGTGGAGTAAATATGAAGAAGAAAAACACAGTTGTTATTGATTTAAATATACATGCGTTTGAAGGCCAGAGAAAAGAAATATGTGTGCGCATGTTTGTTTTATTGATGTTAAAATAAGTAAGTCATAATACTACTTTCTTTTTAACTATTTTACTCTTCTTCGGTGTTTCGTTTATTTTTAATTATTAAAAAAATTATTATTTTTATGTATTCGCATTTATAATAAGATTATTTCCATATTTTATCTTATATGTATAATATATGTTCGCATCTATAATGAGAATATGTCTGTATTTTCTCCTATATGTGTATAGAATAAAAACGCATTGAGACCGCGTGTTTATTTTAATATCAAAACAATTAACTTATATTTCATTTTTTTCATGTCTGTTTTCATTTTTTTTCATGTCTGTTTTATTTTGTTCGATATTTTGTTAAGTTGAATTTTTTTGACAATGCATATAAAAAAAATATTATTTCTGCGTATCTTTCTGCGATCTTTAATGTGATTATATTTTTATCCTATGAATTTTCCTATTTTTCGTTGTAAATAATTTTACTATGCAGAATGAAAAATAATATTTCACTTCGGTGTTTCTTATGTTACGTTTTTACTTTATTAATTAATTTTTTTATTGTCAGTTAAATAAAATTTTTAATAATATTAATAAATTTTTTATAATATTTTATCCAGAGGGTATAAATGATTTGAACGTATTTTTGTGGCACAGGAAGAGGAATCGATCTAACGGTACTAAATGTATGCGGCAGTACATAATCTAGAATAGCGGTTTTTGTTTTTGGTCGTAAGCCTGTTTTCAGGCAGTGGGGGTGCGATTATTCCTTTTTTCAGTGGCGCCATCTATGGCCAGGAATTCGACTTCTGCCACACCATTCACACAACCGCAACCCGTTTATAGGGCGGGTCACATTCACACACAAAGGAGAAAGGACATAGAACACAGAGAGAGAGAGAGAGAGAAAGAAACATCCATGCCTTGCCCGGGATTCGAACTCAGAACCATTATGATTCAAGGACAGTTCCCTGCCCCCTACACAGGCCGTTCGGCAAAATGCGTAATAACACTTTCAAGTTACTATTAGTGATTTATTTTTGTGGCGAAACTTAAAAACCACTCTTGTGCTATATACATGGAAAATATAATTCATAAAATTCAAAATAACCTTATGATTGGTAAAAATATGTTTAAATTAATATGCAATTTCAATAATAAAACTTTCTAGAATATTTAGGCTGTAAGAAATTTCTAAGATTCCGTTCCGATATTAGAATCGTATTATTATTTAAACTCAGTTGACCACCCTTTATTCTGTTATCTATGACAATGTTAGCTGAATGAAAATGACAGTATAGTCCAAAGGGTCATACCATCGGCCAAGCTCAAAGCTAAGTGTTATTTTAATTGTGTTCAATGGATTCTAAGTTCTGGAAAAAATTGGAAACACAGCATATCAAAATAATAAATGACGATAAAAATACTTTTAACTCTTTTAATGAAAAGAAATATGCATGATAAAATAAGCAAAAATACTTATTATTAAAATTTTCTTATGATTTTTAGGTTTGGGTTCTTGAATTTAATTTTAAAGTCAAGTAAATGTTAAACTAAAGGAAACATCAAGAATATAATGGAAATATGGAAAATATAGGTATGAATTTTTTTATTTCTTCTTTTCCGATATTTTAAAATCTGTGATATAAAAGTATTTTTAATCATCATTCTTGATCAAATGATAAAGTTTCAGTTACAACACCTTCATGCAGCTGAGGCACTCTAGTCGGTCTTTTACTGTAATATCCCCTTACAGCCGAATTTCGTCACACTTTTCTAACAGGCATGTCCCGCATTGATGCTTGCCGTTATTTCACACAATGTTGCTTTTCTGTTAGCATCAAGGGTTCTACGCACGTATCGACGCATTCGGCTATTAAGTGCAGGTGGTCGGTTACCACGTTGTCCACGGCCGAAATAAGGTATTCTTGAAACTACAAATCTAAGAGTGTTGAATTTTGTCACAATTTCCGAAATGGAATGTCCCATGCTTCTATCTTCAACTACTATTCCTCGTTCATAGTTTGTTAATTTTCATCTTGCGGTCATATTTACATCAGAAACATTCTCAGATAACTTGAAAACAAATATAATTTCAGGCAGAGCACTACCTATGCAGGGTGTCTCAGTTAAGCGTTTCAGAACTTTTAAGAGGGGTAGGGGGCATCCTGACTACTCGAAATCATATAGCAATGTGGGGTCGGAAATGCATTCCTGAAGCGGTGACGTACACAGAAGCACCATAAAGAAAAGAGACCGTAAGTGAAAAATCGCTATAATAATACATTGAAAAAATTATATGGCCTCCTCGGTCACCCGACCTATCATGTCTTGATTTCTGGAGTCATATGAAAACACTGGTTTATGGCACCCCTGTTCATAATGCTGGTTGCAAGAATCGCAATAGCTGCCTGCGAGATATGCCTGGAATAATGTTCGAATGTCCATGCGCCGGAGATGTGAGGTGTACATTGTAGCCAGTGGCAGAAACTTCGAACACTTACTCTGGCCCATGCACCATATAATTTTTTCAATGTACAATTATAGCGATTTTTCACTTACGTCTCTTTTCTTTATGGTGCTTCTGTGTACGTCACCGCTTCAGGAAAGCATTTCCGACCCCACATTGCTATATGATTTCGAGTCGTCAGGATGCCCCCTACCCCTCTTAGAAGTTCTGAAACACTTAACTGAGACACCCTGTATACATATTTTACACGCGATACTTCTGTCATATGTATATTTGCATATTGCTCTCCCATGACTTATGTCACCTCAGTGTATGATATTAAGAAAATTTAAAACAGGATCAAAATGTAGTTTCTGGTGTGACAAAAAGGATTTGTAAGCTTTTTCCTCGTAAGCGATTTTATTAGCTCGTAAGTATTTGCGATTACATTGTCAACGAATACTTCATCAGAAGATTGAATTGAGCTGAACAAACTTGTGTTTAAAAATAAACCTTATACTAATCTAGATGTAAGGCATTTGTCACCTGAAGACAAAAGCTTCATGCATATAAATTTTTTTCGAGCGTGAAAACCCTATGCCAATCTCGATTTGAAGTTGTTTTATTGAAGGTTGTTTAACATGGCCCAGAATGAGGGCAAGTGGAATAGAGCCAGATTAACACAGACAGAGTAGTAACGATACGCTCTAGTAGCTATAGTTTTAGAGTAAACGATTAGCAGCATTTAGAAATATTAGTTAGCCTCAAAAAGGCTTAAATAAGCTTTTAAAATCATTGCATTGACATCGGTTTCAAAACGTCAATGCGTGCTAGCGCAACTTATCCCAGTAGAAATTGTTCTTAACGAGTTTGGCATAGTGTGATTATCCTCACAACAGGATATATGTCTTTAATCGTAAATGAAAAATACCTAAAAGCTACTAGTGTGTTTCATTAAATAGATTATATGGAGCCGCGGTAGCTCAGGGAATGGATCGTTCGCCTCCCAGTGAGACGACCCAGGTTTGAATCTCAGGGGTGGCTTATTGCTAAGAATTCTGCTTCCAGCTCGCACCAACCACAGTGATGGTGTAAATTATCCTCAGTGATAGACGGATCATGGATTTTAATTTTCTTACCGCCAGGTTGACCCTGGAGGTTTTTGTTCTTTTTCTCTTTATGTTACGCAAGTGCTGGTTAGTACCATCGAAAAGTCCTCCACGAAAGCTAGACTGTCCCAATGTTTGAGTCAGGAGTTCCCTTGTCTTCAGAGTAGGGATCAATATTACATGGCCACAGAGTTGAACATTGATAGTCGTAAACTCGGAATTGCGTCGGCTTTTCAACGCCGGTTATAAAATAAAAGGAATTATATGAAATAGCCACTTACCGTTATATACTACCTGTGCCTAAAACAATTATAAGTTCCATTCTAGAGAAAAATTAATTGTATTTCTGAAGGAAAATTTAATATTTTTTATGTAAATTTTCTCAAAGGTAGCTTAATGGATGAACACAATAATACGGCAAAAATAGTTCAAATTAAAACCTAAAATCTGAGCATATCCTATTTTTTCCGAACTCTAACCTGCTGAGTTATTTCTTCTATAAACTAAATGCAGAACTTATATCTTTTAGGACAAAAACGAAGTGGAGAGATAACTTATAAGGTACAATGTAAGAAAGTGAAAATAGAGTCTTCAAGAAACGTATGTTATATAGATTATATATCTCAACCACCTACTTTAGAAAGTATAACTCTTACGTCAATAGCAATAAGACTGTGGTTTGAACCCGATAGAAATGAGGACGTAAAGCAGCATTCTATGCGCTATGGATCTGAAATTATATGCACCGGACCGAGAGAGGCTTATCATAAATTGGAAGAACTGAGAAATTAGCAGATCTTCGCTTGCCTGATCTAGTAAAAATCAAAGTATCTGATGTCATCAGACCTATTGGATTGCAGTTGCTGAAATGTTTCGATTCGAATGACGATGAATATTGCAAAGTTAAAGATCTTTTTGAAAAACATTGCACAGTTTATTGGACAGGCATCATCGATAAACGTAGATCACTTGTAGAACTGATCAATAATGAAAACCAAGAAAACATTATTTGTCAACAGTGGCGTACGCAAGGGAGGGGTTTAGGGGTTTAAACACCCCCCTTGAGCTCGGACAAAATGGCAAAAATAAAAATTTTTGTAGAAATTATGCGAGCTATTATTTTGTAAGACTATAAATTTTTATGTGCCTTATACCTACTTTTTTTTCTCATGGTATTTCTCAGAATACAGAAAAAACATCTATATTACATAAAACGCTAATACGTACGTATGTATATACGTATGTATCAATAAAACCGATGATATTTCTTTTCTCGCGCTGGCAACTGTTTTCATTTTTAATTGATTGGATTCGGCGCGCAAGAGCACGTAGTGAGCAACCAGATAAAAATTTCATAACTGTACATTATCAGGTTGTTCAATTCAGATTCATGCACTAAAAACATGACAATATTTAATTTAAACTCAATTAGGAATTAATTAATTAATTGAAGTGAGAATGCTTTAAAAGGCCGCTGTTGAATTGATATTTTTCTACTGGGAGCTACCTAAACGTCTAAAAAACGTTTAAGTGTTTGTATTGAATGCAT